CCAGGTATGCAAACTCATCTGTCATCCTCTGCATCCTGTTCACCCTGCCATCACAGAAGGAAAAATACAATATGAAAAGATGATACTATTTGCGTCATGCAGTCTGTGACAACTGACCCAGTCTATAGGATAAAGTTTTAAGAGGAGTTATTTAATTAATAATCCTGTCATCAAATCTTTCCAGTTTCCTTTCTATGCAGTGACTAAAAGTAACATGTATATACACATACGAACTCTGTGGGATTTTACAATGGTTGTTTCAGGAAAGGTGCAAATAGATAGCTTTCTGCTGGCAGATTACTAGTCTTTGCAATTCTTATCAATACTCATTAAATTAGGGAAAATGACAGCCCGTCTGACAAATCAATCCAGCCTGTCTGGAGAGTTGAAACAAGAGATGAGTGCTGTCTCCTGGGGAAACATTGCGGGAGCTTAGCTGCAGCTGAGAGTGGCTAGTTGCTGGTGACAACGAGAGAAACACCACTCCTTAGTAGGAACATGCTGTGCAACCTCACTGCCAGCACGAGCCAGACTACCTCTGCTGTCCTCCTCTTGCCTCTGGTCAGTCCCTCTCACTGCTTCCTGTAAGCCCTGGAGCCCTCACGTCCGTGAAAAGAGCCATAGCCCCTTACCAAAGTGTCAAAAAGCTAACCCAAGAATAAGAAAACTGGTTTGTTTTCAGTCTTAACCAACTTATTCACACTTATCCGACACATCCCATGATTGCACAAGCACTGAGGCTGTTGAAAACATGTGGTTTAGGATGAGAGAAGGGAGGTGATGCTGTCAACTCTTTTGACAGCAGCTTGCATCGAGAGTCACTTAAGCCAACTGTGAAACCACAGGGCATTTTGATTTCCATCCACTGCTTGGAGAGGGGAGTGGAGTGAGAATAGCCTTAAAGCACGAAAAGGGACATGTTTTTGGTAAGGATAAGATTGGTCAAATGGGCAGATTTAAAAGGTGCATGGACATGAGATGGATAAACTATTGGTAAAGAGAAAAGGCCCACAGGCTGAAGAGTTGAAAGTCACACTGCAGCATCGCTTCAGTCATAGAGATTCTGCACAATGCCAGGCAAGTGATTAAATTAGATATTTGCAAATGGCCCTTTTTAGTTTAGCTGTAATTTCCCAAGCGCCTGACATGAGCCCTGGAGCCAGTCACATGGCCGCACTCGAAGTCAATATTTCCAAAGGTCTATGTGCAACCAGAAGTTGCTGAAACCCTAGTGAAGGGTGCAGGGAGGCTGGGGTGAGGCAGGAACCACATAGTCTCTACAGTTAATGATGAGACAAGATTTAGGTAAGCTAAACAGCATAAATTGATCTCCATGCAGAGCAGCTCGGCATGAATGACCTTCTATTAGTCACCCTCTTTTGAAATTGGTCTGAAAATGGGTGTTCTATTTTCTTTTCCTGCCCACAGTCAGATATTCAGAGGTGACATCAGTGCCTACTTGAGACCCCAGTGTCCCAAATCCTGGGCGGTTCTGGGCCACAGTGCTGGGAAAGCCCATTTCTGCTTCACGTAAGGCACTGCCACTGCCAAGGAAGGATAAATACCAGCCACTGCTGCACAGGTTTTCTATTGCTCAGAGGTATAATGGATTACGTAGTGGATTCGTTAAATGATCCCTAACTATAATTAGCTCCCTCTGTGCTTGTAACATTACAGCCTCATACAAATGGTTCCTAACGACACATGCAGTGTCTAGAAACAGGGTAATAGCTATTTAAACTGTTGCTGATCCCCGAGCTGGTACATGGCAGTGTATTTTACAATTATTGAGAAACTTCAGACATCTTTTAAAAGTGCTCTGGGCATTGACCTAGAGAAAATCTTGGTCAGATGAGAACAGAGATGATGCTCTTCCCCTAATGGTAACAGATAGATAATGTGCTAGTTGTCAGACATTACTGCTGCCCCAGTCTTGATT